GTGCCAGCCCTGGCGTCAGGAGGACCTGAGTTCAGATGCAGCCTCAGACACATAAAACTCAATGGCTATGTGACTCTGGGCCAGTCACTTAACCCAAATTGCCTCATATAAAAAACAAACAAAACAAAAACAGCCTGCCTTGGAAGTAGTGAGACTGGGAGTAGCTTCATATGATTCTTGTGCTTCTAACAGAGACTGGCAGAATCATGGATGGGAATTCTCTCCCCAGTGGCCATGTATTTTGCAGCAGAGCTACTTACTCAGTAGGAGACAGCAATCCAGCAAAGAGAGGGTGAGAGCAAGAATCACATCAAGGAGCATGACCTCTGACAGCTGAGAAAAGAGGTGACTGGATTCAAGAGAGATCTAGCCCTGACAGTCCAAAGTTGAGCTGCAGAAAGGGTCAGACACAGAAAGACTGGCTGAGCAACTTGCCCAACAAAGATTATTGGGTCCAGAAGGGAGTACCATAAAAATACCACGAGAAAAGAAAGGCCATCACAGCCCTATAATACCAGAGGACTGAGTTACCCTGACTATGTGTGTCTCACTTCTTGTTTGCTCTTACGGCCCACTCTTTCCCAAGATGACTGTGTGTATTTGTGAGGGTGCACTCTAGATTTATGGCAGTGAATGTTTTGAAGCTACTGTTCTTACTAAACTTACTACACTAACTACACTATCTCAGCCTTTTTTTTTCTTTCTAATTGTGACTGCTGACTATAATGGGTAGCCCTACTAGTTGAGGCTTGTGAGCTATAGTTTTAGGAGTATGTTGGGAGTAGATGGGCACTTTCCCCTCCCTCCCCCACCAGGGCTCCAAACTGTATTCTCCCCTAAACATAGCTTTCCTTTTATTTTTTTAAAATTTACCTTTCCTGATTTCTTTAGCACTTCAGACATATGGAGACCTTTTATCATAGAATTGAGTTAGATCACAAATTTGGTAACACTAAAAAGTAGGGTTACTCTTAAGTATCCTTTAGTATAGATTGAGTTTCAGCTCAAGAGACTATTCTGAATTATTTGGAAATTGATTGTCCAGTTACTTCTCATCTCCGTTTGCACAGTTTTACCATTCATTTGTACCACCATTAAAAGGTGGAAAATTACCATGGACAATTGAAAACTGTGTTTTTAGCTCATGATGATATTTTAAAGCTTTAATTTCAAAGTGTTTGGGGATATGCTTTCGCACCACCTTTAGAGGAATTGAAAAACTCATCATCCAGGTAAAGAATGTACTGGTATCTAAGTTTGTCATATGGGCCATTGATTACTGTAAATGGGTTTTTTTTTCTCTTTTAGGTATAAGTACCTGGGCATTCAATATAAGCCAGGGTTTTGTATACATCTAAATGTACTTTTGCTTTTTTTTGGAAAATGACTTTTAGTCTTACAGTGAAATGGAACCCAAGACTGTGGCTCATGACTCGAGTCCTGCTACATTGCATTTGATGGTTGTCCATCTAGTGGATACCTGTCACATCCTTCCAGGGCTTTCCTATTCCTTTCACATCCATAGCCTTCTGGAGAAGTCTGTAGTAGTCCAACCTTGTCCCTTCTGGTGGTAGAGGTTCCTGAGCAAATTTTGAGGATTCAGAATGTATAATTTTGAGAGTACTTGAAATAACCATGTTGGAAGAATGGATTTCCAGCGTGTTTCCATGGTACAAAGCAGTGTGCAGGTAGTTTGCATAGCTGTGAGAAAGACTTCAAGTCATCCAAACCTGCATTGAAAGGAGGAGATTTGGGGCAGTGGGGAAATAGATTATAAAGGCAGAATTACGCTATTTTAAATGGAAAACTCCTTATACAAAACATATAATTAACAAATTCTTTGCCTCTTATTTGCATGTGTTTATGTCACTTGTTTTTACTCATAGGCCTAATTTCTTGAAGTTAAGAAAACCACACCGGCATTCTGGATAAATAATTTATGTATAGTGTAGTCACTACCTTTTGTTAAAAGGAAGAACCTGTCACCTAGTTCTTGGTGAATTTTAGATGTGTATAATCTGATTCATTTTAGTAGAGTTTAGAATAGCTAAAGTAAGGATTTTCAAATATTGGAGTCTGTTTTAAATATCCAATTTATTACAAAAAATCATACCCTGTTCTTCTCCTGGGGTTTTAGGTAGCTTCCTCAGGGCCCAGAGATTGATCGTACTGGTAGTTCTGTCTGAGAGGCCTTCTCTTGGTATGCTGTTCATGTGTTTATATCTCTGGGTGCTCTATTTACATAGCAATTCTTTACATAGCAAATGTACTTCACTTATTTGCTTGTATTTATGAAGTGGTTTCCTGCTCAGGTGTTCCATAAGCACTCTATTAAAATTCATAAAATGACTTCCTATTGGTTTTCATTCAGGTTGCAAAGTTCTACAACTTTGGAGAGCTTCTTTGCCAAACTGATAAAGAATCATCAACTATGATGGGGAGAAGAAATAAAGAACATGTGTTAGCCATACTCCTTCTCTACTTACACATCCTAGAGGAAATACCACCATGTTTAATATGGCAAGCATGCACAATAGTAATGTGTGTGTATATGCACACCCCTATACCTACAGCTATGTAAATCCATTGTCACAAGCTTCTGATAAAACTACAGCAATTTAAATGAAGGAGACAAATGGCATTTAAATCTTCCTGGATTAGTGGCAAGCCAGCTCATTGACCAACATAATGCTTTGACTTTGAAATGTTAGGTTGGGGAGATGAGTTACATGCTTCTCTATTCCCTAGGTCTACAGAGTGAAGGTGATAAAATATTGATCCCTTGAGACGTAGCTGAAGGAATGTTTAAACATTTCTCCTTGGAGAGTGACTAAATTCATTTACTAGCTAGTTACATAGGATTTGTCTATATTTAATTTTCATTAGGAGAGGGAAAGAATTTTCACATTGATTTTCTGAAACCCTTATTTTAGTGTAGGTCACATCTTGCAGTGCTCGAATTTTCAGGAGTCTGAATTCATCATCTTGTTTTCATTTGGTTCTCTTAAGTAGATCTTTGTGTAAATAATCCCTTTCTTTTTATAAGGTCATATACTCAGGCATCACTGATTTTTCCTAGGAAGCCATCCTATGTACAAATTCATTCATTCCCACTGCAAGAGTATTTTTGTTGTAATTTCTATGACCTTTAGTTGACTTGTTCTCTTTAATAGCTGCCTCTCTGGAGGGTTTTTGCTTGCTGGCCATTCGTTCAGGTGAAGTACTAGGGATAGAGATAGAGACAGGGATAGCACCTATGATTTCAATAATTTGGGAAGCTCTTAGATGAGAAAACTCCCTCTGCCAGTGCAGGGCAGCACCCTCTTTTCAATTTCTCGTCTTAGAGAGTTCCTAGAATACTGAGAGGTTAATCAACTTTCACAGAGTTGCACACAACCAGCATGTGTCAAAGGCAGAACAAAAACCCATATCTTCCTGATTCCAAAGTCAGCTCCTCTTATTCTGATTAATCCATGTTGCCATTGAATAAATGCAATTCTGCACGCTTGTTGTAGTAAACAAAGATAACTGTCCAAGGGCCTGTTGCTTATAAAATTTAAATATTTCTTTGTTAATTATTCTTTTGGAAGTGCTTCCTTTTTTTAGTTTCTTTACCAAAAGACTTCTTAATTTGTGACATTTCCTTCATTGTCACTACCATGGCTCTTTGTTCTCTTTGCCTCTTGTGGTGGCAGGAACTCAGATAACCATCTCAAGTACTGTGACTGCTGAAACTTCAGAATTTCTGGCTTTTCCATCTGGTTGTAACAGTTGGTTGTATCATTAGCTTGTTGACTATTGTTTTTTTTTCCAGTGGCAGGAGGTAATGAGTAGTAGATCTGATTGCTTGGCAAAGTCAGTAGATCACTTTAAAGTTAACTCAAGTAATAAATCCGACAAACTAGATCCAGCATGGTGTGACCTATGAAAATTAAGAGAATTAAATAAAACTGTTCTAGTGGAAATGAGTATGTATATAGATGGCAGTCATCCCAAATCTAATCTTTGCATGATAGGACTTGAACTTTCAATTTCTTCAGTTAAAGAATTGGCTTTTTATGACTTTTTGCTTTTAGCTCTTTTGTTGTATTGCACTTAAGGAAGTGGGGTGGCAGGGATTAGAACAATCTAGGAAATGAGTTGTTCCTCAACAGTTGAGGTGCAGTTCTTTTTCTTTATGGAGTGTTCAGATCATACCTCTCTGCCCTTCCATAGTGAGAGTGGATTTCACCAAGGATGTTAATGTATGCAAATGCTATGCCACAAGGCAGGTAGATATCCTTTTTATCATTCTGCTCTTAGTTAAACTGGAAACTACTGGAGCTGCCAGAGCCTTTTCTGTTACCTCATTCTGTCTTTTAAATAGTTAATATTTCTTTATCCATCCTTCTGCGGCAGCTAGGTGGCTCAGTGAATAGAGTGCTGGGCCTGGAGTCAGAAAGACCTGAGTTCAAATCCAGTCTTAGACACTTACTAGCTGTGTGACCCTGGGCGAGTCACCTAAATCTATTTGCCTCAGTTTCCTTATCTGTAAAATGGCAAACCACATCAGTATCTTGGTCAAGAAGATCCCAAATGTGGTCACAAAGAGTCTGACAGGACTGAACAACAACATCAGTCTTTCTCCTTTCCTTTACTCTAGTTCTCAAGAAGGAAGGAAAGAACAGAAATCCTTTGTGACAAAGTGCTTATACAAATTATGTTATTTTAATTGTTTTAATGCTCTTTTCTTGGAGAATTGAATCATTTTTTGCCAGCATCGTCACTTGTCTGTCCTTCTTTTATGGTTAATAACTGTACTATACTTTTAAAATGTTTGTCTTAAAAATGTACCTCAGGAACCTTATAATTGTTCATCTTAAATGTTGTGATATTTTAGCATATATTGGCAAAAATGTTTTTTTATTAGAATGTTGTATCATTTTGTCTTTGACCAGTATTGTGAATATAGGACATTTTTACAGATCCATTTTAAACATCTTTTTTTTTCCCCCCAGTAGCCACTCCATTCCAAGGACTAGAACAGTCTTGCGTTAAGTTTAAAAAAAAAAATGTGGCCGGAACTGAAGGAATCCTCTAGGAAAAGGAAAACAGTAGGACCCAGCACAGTTTGTTTGAAAACCAAACAAAAAAGCAAAAAAAAAAATTCTCAATTTCCTCCAGCTAAGAGACTTGATCAATGAAGAAAATGTACATGAGAGTTTAATTAGTTGAATTTATTCATACTAATGAGTCTTGAGGCCAGTGATTTGATGAAGAACTCGTATCTCTGTGTCAAGAAATCTTTGAAGTTTGGCAAACAAACAAAAGTAACCTATTGTAAATTTAGTCTCAGGTGTAAATATGAAGCCCTCTATTGTCAAGAGGGATCAAGAGTCTGTTTGGTGCATGTGTATAAATTGTGATGGCAATCATTTTTAGTTCTTGGCCTCCAAAGGAATGGAGAATTCAAGGCAGGCTTCTGTATATTTATTTTCTGTTTGTCCTTGCTATGTTCTATTAAGATGTAAATGGAAACTGCTTTATTGAAAGAGTATTTTTTCTTGATTTGCTGTAATTTGATTTATATCATGTTAATTAGCAAAGTACCACCAAACTGCTTGCTTTTCACCAAAAAGTGTTTTACTGGTAACCTTACATAAACACTGTTATGTGTTTTGGTACAAACAAAGTGGTTCTTTCAGAAAATATTTGAAAACTAGTGAAAGAATATGATCATTGCTTTAGAATGGACAACTGGTTTCAAATAGTACAAATGCTGCATAACTTCATTTCTCATCCTTAGACCATTTAGTAAGTGAATAGTGCCCTGTGACTGGTCACTGTTTCGTTGCCCAGTAACACAAACAGAGAAAGCTTTTCTTTAAAAAAAAAAAAATACTGTGATTTCTCTTTTCCCTTTACAAAACAAAAATTACCAAGTAATTGAAATTTTTCTTATGGTACTACTTTAATTGAATTCTGTTATTGCTTTTTTTCCTTATCTGATCTTCTCCCTAGTTTCAAACTACATATATTGGTTTACATCTACAGATTTCAGTTATTGGTAAATATGAGACCTCACTTATTGCCTTTATTTAGGGTATACAACAGTGTAACTCTTTGTATAGTGCCTTCTTCAAACCAACGAAGCAGAGTAGATTCTGTGAATGTTAGATGACAGTTACAGAAATTAAATTTAAAACTTGATGTATCTTATTACATACAGTAATGAGGGGCCCAATGGCAAAGAATATTTGAGTATCCTGAGTTCACATGTATTTCTTTTCCACATGCACATGAATGAAGTGTGTGATTGTTATTTCACTAGACCAGTTTCAGGCAGTCCAGTATGAGAAATTGGACCATTGAAATCTAGAAAAGGGATACTTTTGTAATATAAATACAAATGCATAGAATAAATGTCAGCCATGTTTATTTTTATACCTAATTTATTTTTAAGAGCTGTTGTTAAAAGAAAAAAAAAAGGCCCTACTCGGGCTGAAGGATGATTGTAATTATAGCCTGTAAATGCAAAAAAAAAAATGACTTTGAAGCATTGGTTCCATTTGTGGGGCAAGGGGTAATTCTCTCATATAACGCATTGAAATTGGTAACTGACCTAGGTTCCTGCAGTTTAGCACAAAATAATCCTCTCTACCCTTGAGACAGATGATTTGAGGGTAGGACTGGAAACAATGGGACGTCGACCATTAAATTAATTGGCCCACAGGCAAAGTCATTTCCTCAAGTGGCTACTGGCTCCTCCTCTCTAGGCCATATGGGGAAAAGAGTATTCTGCTATACTATGGTAGGGGGAGAAAAATAAGGAAAGAGAGAAGCCCACAGTTATAAAAAGTGAGTATAACCTTAAGCCCCCAATTCTCAGGTCTATTTTCTCATTCTGACTCTGATTTTTTTAAAGACTTTTCTGTATTAATAACCATATATAATCAAGTTCAAATCTAAACCACTTGAAGTTTCTTTATTAAATTTATTGGTCTTTTAAACAAAATGGGAAAACCTCTGCTTTCCATCTCTAAAGTGAGCAACTTGTCTCCAAGACTGGTTAAGACAATTTTTGGGGGGGGCTAGTAATGAAGAATCTTGGCTGAAGTGTTTCCACCATAAACATTTTAGCCTCCAAATTGCCATCACATGGTGAGTCTTCAACTCAGTCTTTCTTGAATTTCTAACCATTTTAAATGTCAGCAAGGATCTTTCTCCTTCATAGTTTAATGTTCATCTGCTCTGTTCATACCAGAATTAGTCATAGGAAGTCTGAGTTTGGTTAAAAAGCATTTCTTTGTTGGCAGCCCTCAGTGACTTGAGCTGGTATGTGCCAAGGAAAACAGCAGACAGAGCATGTGGGTGGGGGTGGGGGGAGAGGGACATATTTAGGGATTAAAAAGCATCTGGGTATGGCTGCTGGAAAGATTCCGTTAGAAGTCAGTTTTTTTTCTTTTTGACCTCCAAAAATATAACCAAATTGTTCTTCTAAGGTTTCTCACTCTAAGCCCATTTTGTAGAAGCACTGCTTAAACATAAAGAATAGTTTGTCAGATAAGGAGATTTCCTGTTCAAAGGAAACCAAATGCCCTAAAGAGGTAGATAGAAAACTAGCCTCAAGAGTTAATAAGCTTTGGATTCAAGTCCAACCTTTAACATGCACTTGCCCTGGGCAAGTTTCTTAATTTCACACTGCCCTTGGCATCTCAAAAAGAACCCAAGTTGAAAAAAAAGTGCCTATTTGCATTGGTCAAGGAAATTCCCCATCTGTTGCTCTCTACCATGATGAAATTCAGATAGGATCCCCTAAAAAAACTGTACTCAACAGCACTGTAGATTTCTCATGATCACTGCATTTTCATGGTTAAACAAGTTAAATGTTTTTAGTAGCTCTTCCATCTCTTTGGGACTGAAATAGTGACACTTAAAAGAGAGTAAAATAGAAATAATTGTATCTGAATTATTTTGGTCATAAAAGTAACGTTTTCCTCATTATCTTTTCCTTTTCTCAGAAAAAAAAGCACCAAATCTGTGAAGTGTTAAAATTTATTTATTGGAAGCAAAGAAGAATAAAAATAAAAAACCCTATAAAACCCTTAGCAGAAAGAAAGATTAGAGATAGATCTGTCTTAACTGCCAGGTTTAAAATTTTAGAAAGTATTTTTTTACCTAGCTGTGAATAATTGTTTCACCAAGCATTGCCTCAGTACAACAAGTAGCCTTACTTGTCCACCAGTGTGGTTGCTCTCCTAAACTTCACAATTGTTTAGTCCTAAAATTTAGTACTAACCCTCAGTCCCCTTACCATGGGGATTTTCATGGGAAAATTTTTTCAAAATTTCTACCTCGATTCTTTCCTCCAAGTTTTAGTTAGGAGCCGATTTCCCCATCAGAATGATTGGGGCCAACATGTTTGAGACTGAAGTATGATCCACTGTGACACATACTGTGGAGCTCTTGCTTTCTTGGGAGAAATTCTTCTGTAAGAAAGGCCCAAAGGTAATGCCTTTCATTTGATTTACATTTTCTCTCTGGGCAACAAGCAATTTACTCAAAGAATTTTGTGAAAAATAGCTTCAATTTCTATTTTCATACATCCTCTCCCATATCATCTCCCATTCCCCCTTGTTGAATTTTATCAAAAGCTTTTTAAATAACTGTTGCTCGGCCCCATCTTGAAGACAGTGGTTTTTTTTTTTTCCCTTTACTCTTTCATAATTCTTTCTCACCTAATAATGACAGAGTGGGATTAGCTTGCCCACCCCCTGTCTCCAGATCTTTGTATTCTCCATGTTGCTAAATGGAAATGCTGCAGACATGTTTTTAAAGACTGGACACTTAATAGTGTGTAGAAAATTACCTCCCGTTCATAGAGAGAAAAAAAATGACAGCAGCTCAGTTCACCGATTTGAGTACTGCAATTTTGTATTAATAATTTGCAGACTTTTATCTAATGTGCACTCATGTATAGGTTATAAAAAGTTTTCAAGTGTAACTGATTAATCAGTACTTATTTATCCATTGTCTTGATTTTTTTAAATTAAAATGTATATTTCTATTCATATTTTTTAAATCAGAGGGAACTGGTAGAGTGAATGTTTATTTTACTTAAGGTATTTTTCAGGTAAAGCTTCATAATAATGTCTTGTAAACTAGTTAGTTTAATAAGTATTGTCTCATTTGAAAATCTTGTGTATTATAACTGATTTTATACAAAATGTTAAATAGTGAAAATTGTATGCCTAAGATCATGTACAATTAAAACTATTAACCAGAAGCTGTTGCTTTATTTTCTGTTCATATTTACTGATAATCAAAAACTTGTCACAACTAGAATACAATTCATCATTTGTGGCCTCTTCCTGGGGTGGTAGGAACAGGAAGCATCTCACACTGAGGAAGTTATTGAAATAAAATCCTGTGGTGAACACTTGCCATTCTGGCATCAAGTGATAGAAGTGAACTTTTCCTCTTAGGAAACAATTCAGATTAACAAAAATATTTAAAAGTCAGGTCACGTGATCATAAAATCATGAATTGGAGTACAAAGAATTTTACATGTCATGTGGGCTAACTTAGAAAACATATAGAATCACTTCCTCGTTGTAAAGAGGAGGAAAGGAAGGCCCAGAGGTTAAGTGACTTGCCCAAGGTAACACAGCTAATGCGTGGTAACTAACAGTACTAGATACTATTCCCTGATTTTCTACTATCCTATGCTTTGTCTCCCTTACCCATATACAGCACACTCTCAATGATCTGTATAGCATGAAAGAAGAGGCCCAGCTAGAATCAATCCAACAGTGGGAAAGAAAAGATGTACATTTCATTTGGAATTGCTTTCCTAAACAATCACACTGTCTTGGCCCACTACTAAGTGTACCCTGGATGCACAAGCAACCCCTGGAATGGTCTGGTCAGATGGTCTGGTTGGCATTATGAGAAGAGGAAATATTTAGGTACACAGACAACATCCTAATAGAAGTACTTGACTCATGGACATCAGAAAAAAATGTTGATTCATTGAACATTTATCTTCGATGCAAGGCCAATATTTGATCAAAGTGCTGTAAGGTGTCAGAAAATAATTTAGCTTGACAATGTTTCCTAAGACTATCAAAACTTGGGTACTTCTTGAATACACTGTGGTGTAGGAGAAAGATGGCTGGATGTAGAGTTAGGTATCTGAATCTCAACTTTGCCACCATATAACTATCTGTTCGACCTTGGGCAAACTACTTAACCTGTTTGGGAGTTCGACTAGATTAAGGTGGCAGCTTGAAATTCATTTTGCTTGTAATTGAACCAAATAAAGGTTGAAGAAAAAAATCCTTCCCATTTGCAACTGAACATACATTTTTATTTTTCAATATTTCATTAAATGCATTAAGGGGGAAATGAAATGATGCATGAAATCAAAAGGCCCCAGGGAATATTAGGAATATATTTTTAATTACGTTTCTGTAGATAGTTTCCATTTTTACAATCATTTATGTTTCCCAATGCATTCCTTCCCTCATGCCTTCACTTTAAAATCAAGTATGATAAAAACATGTTTTTTTACTAACTTAAACATATTAAAGAGGTTCATTATATGCATTAGCCCACACCTATGGTTCCTCCCACTTCTACTCTTTAGGAATGGAAAAAATAGGAAATGGTTTGAGTTTCAGGTTAGTGGAACACTTTTTGAACATTTTTTCAGATGAAATAAAAGACCTCACTTCTTGGTTTTCTAAGCTTTATTTGCCAAGCTGTTATGTGAATACTCATAGCTAGAAATTTAGGCACTGAAGGTGCTAATTCCTAAAGCTAAGTTATAGTTTTATTGTGTAGATTCAGAGCTTATTTGACAATGCCCTCAGCTATTTAATATTGGGAAGAGAGGGGAAAAAGTGTAACATGAAGCTGGTCTGCTAACGATGCACGTAGTTCAAATTCATATTATTTCCATTGTCAAGTGTCCTTGGTTTGATCAGGATTAAAACGCAGAGTTATGTTTTTCTCCTAATCAGGTATAATAGAATGCTGCTTTTTCCAGATGTTGCTGCCCTCCCACAGATATTTATGCAACCGGTGATTTTTTTAAGTAGGCTTATTGGATAAAAGGTAAATGTAAGTTTAGTGGTCACTCAGGTAAGTCTTCTTGACTTTATAGTTGTGTCCCTCACCAGTATTCCCCAGTTAATAACACAACAAACATAAAAATCCGATTTCATTCAGTGTCTAGTTGAAATAAATTTTCCATGGTGTATGTGTATCTATGTTTATCAATACCTATAACTGTATATGTGTTACAGAGATATTTCTAAGCTCAAATTCTGTGATCAAAAATAATTTATACTACTACTTTGTATGAAGTTATTATCAAAGTTGTTTAAAGAGAGGCAAGGATGTTCTATCCAAAGAGATCACAGTTTTGATAACATTAGATAGAATCCTCTTTATGTAAAAAGGTATTAGGATATTTTGGTAGTAAAACAATTACATGTGATTGTAATGGTGTAAAATCTTTAAAAATGATCAAAGACACCATTTGTTATTTATTTATTTTTAGTTTGCAACATTCACTTCACAAGATTTTGAGTTCCAAATTTTCTCCCCATCTCGGCCCTCCCCCTAACCCTAACACGGCATGCATTCTAAATACCCCTTCCTCTGATCTGCCCTCCCTTCTATCATCTCCCCCCTTTTCTTACCCCCTTCCCCTTCTAAAGGCACCATTTGTTGGGGAGGCAAAATGGAATCATGCAATTAAGCATGATTTGAGAGTTAGGAGCTGGCTACAGTAATCACCATTTCTAGTGATAGTAAGGACTGAATTTTTTACAGTAAGAAAACAATGTTTTTATGGGGTACTTATTGCCTAGCACTGGACAATAATTCCTTGGTTATAATTTTTGTACACATTTTTGACAGGACTGCTGTAATCCATGCCTTCTAGGGATTTTACTACTTTGGTTAGGGACAATAAAGACAAAACCAGTGAAGTTGCTAAGGTAATATGTAGCATCGTGGGGTTTTCAAGTTAGGGGTTTTTTGGGGGGGTCTTTCCTCTTTTTTTGCATTTAGCCTGAGGTGAGCCTATAGGCAAGGCATAGGAGTGTGAGACTGGGTGAAGTGACTGGGAAAAAGAGATGGTTTTTTAAGTCCAGGCTGCCTTTACTGTCAAGGAAAGAGAAAGATATGGGAGCTAAATAGTATTTTACATCGTTAGGTACCGAGTTCTCACCTACAAACAATTAAAGACATTTTGCCACAAGTGAAAATGTGTAGACATAAGCAGTAATAGGGTAGCACTGGAGCTGGCATCACTGTGACCAAATACTGAACTCAGTATCTTGAAGACTTTTTCTGTCTTTCCTTGCCCCCCCCCCCCCCAAATACGAGAGACTAAGATTCCCTTGTTTAGCCCCTGGGGACAAATTTGAACTAGGATATTGTAAGCCTAAGTGATCCATCCTGTGAAGAGGTAATTTGAGAAACTGCTTGTTTTTAGTAGTCAGAACTGACACCAGTAATGTACTACAGTTGCCATTTCTGAATAGGCACACTGCTATTTATATGAATTTTGTTTTTATATACCACTATGTTTTTGTACTTGGCATCTCCTTAGGATCATAGATCCTGATTTGGGACATTATAGACCATCTTGTCCAACTCCCTGACTTTATAGAACTGTCCTAGGGAGGTAAATGAACGCTTTTTACATATCTGAGCTTTTGATGGAATCTTTATCTAGGCTGGCCACAATACAAAACCTTAAAAGTCTGGACAATCTTCAGACTTGGAAATGGCAAGATTTGGAATCAGAGATATTAATGTTTGGTAATTAAAAGAAACTTCAGTCTCTTATGAATAGTTTGAGCAGAACCTACATCTTAACTTGATAATTCCTTTTTCAACTAGAAAAAGAAAATGGATATATTGGGAAAGCTCTTAAGTTCTTTTTCATAAGAAAGCTTCCCCTACATTTCTTGTTTTGGACCTGAAAGCCTTTGCGCCAAGCCTTTGCAACTTCAAGCCTCATCTCTTCAGAAAAACAGCTTCATTATGAAATTTTCTTCCCCAATAACAATGAACCAGATGGTGGGCCACACTGAATTCTACCTATAAAGAGACATTTGTACTGTGGAAAACTAGACCTGGCACCCTGGGGTGGTCAGATCCTAACATTACACCTGGTTCCTTTTGTCTCCCCACACTTACCTTTTCCACACTCCCCTCAAATCTAACTTAGGAAATATTATGAGGAAATACTTAAAGTAAAACAATATATGGGAAAGTTTGCATCTTGTTTTAATTGGAGACAAAAGTTAAAGAGATGGTATCCAAAGACAAATTTAACAGCCAAATCCATTTGAAGTGGAATGGCCTGGAGTCCTCCTAAATGTGGTGTCTCCTATTTTTCCCTCTTCTCTAAAAGTACCCTGCTTGCTAAGGATGCCAATTGTTTGAGTAAGTTTTTTTTAAAGAGCATTTTGGCTGCTGCTTTCTCTATGGGGATTACAACAACCACCTTAAGGAAAAAATAATGGATTTTTTGTTTTGTTTTTTCCCTGATTCAAAAAATAACAGTAAGTGGAAATCGAGTGGAAATTGTAGCATGAAAGTGCTCTTACAAAAGTATCTGGTCCACAATTCAGGAAACATCTGCACTTGGGACCCTTGTGATTCTTCGGGTATTCTGGTTGTTCCCTCTCTCCACCCCTAATGTGGTTTCCCTAAAAAATAGTTCCTTGTTCACGAAGACAGTAGTTGCACTGTGTGTTAAGCAGCCACTTCTAGTCAGGCATACTTGGCCATTCTTTCCAGCCAAGCAAAAATCTAGTCCATCCCAGAAAGGAGGTAATGATCATCAGATGCCAGATAATGACACTCAGCAGAAATCTACATGGGATATGTATTATAACAATTAAAACTGATTCTCCAACCCTGGGCATATTAATCAATCAACAAGCATACATTAGGCACCTATTTGCCATTCACTACGGCAGCACATAATCACAAAAGGCAGGCTGCTTGTGATTTTTAGCAGGGAAAGAAGAGAAGACTAAGATTTTGGTAAGACCCAGCACACATTACTGCCATTACCATCCTATGCCTGAGTTTCCATCAGGTATGGAAGACTTGGAATAACTGGTAAGTGTGATTATAAAGCTCATGTACAAGGATATCTCATCATATGGTAGACTATTGGGGGCGAGGAGGAGGGAGAATAAAAGATGTCCCTGCTGTCATTCTCAAGAATGACAAGTTTCAAGCAGTTCCCACAGAAATGGAGGAGTAAGGTGGATAGAAATGCTATCTAGAAGCCCAACTGGCTACTACACATCAAAACAGTTTGGGTACTACATTCTAGCATGGAAAAAAAAAAAAGATAGTATCTCTAAGGATTTAGGGAGGAGAAAACAGCTGGACACCACTTGAACTGACTTCAGAAAGTATTCCTCATAATGCTGAGAGGAAACAGAAACAGAAGGCAGCACTTGTCAAATGAAACCTGGAAACTTTCAAATCGGAAAGACTGTATATCAGCTTTTGGCAGGTGCCATTTTTTAAAGTGATGATCAAAGAATGCAACTGTTCTCATTGTTAATAATATTAGATTTCTAGTTCATAAGATGTTGATTGACATGACTTGTTTCAAAGGGGGGCAATCACTTAATGTTTACATTTATTCACAGGAACAAATACAGGAAACATTTATTGAGTTCAAAACAGGGTAGAGAAATATGTACAAAATGCTGCTGATGCTGTAGCATTTATCCATATGGGATCACAAGTAGTACAGTGTCACCACCACAGATTGATCAATAAAATCACTATTTAACATTAGGCATGTGATACACTTCAGGATCAGTTCAACTGGCATTTAAAACCATTGTACCTGAAATTATATCCAAACTATAGGGTTATGAAACCTATTCACAACAAAATAGAATGATATTTGAACAAAAATTGTGATCACTTCTCACCAGTTACTGGTGACTTTTTTTTTCTTCCAAATCAAACCACACCACCAGTTTTCAAAAAAAATTAAGACATATCTAACCCAACTCCAGCAGTTGTTATTTCCTTGGAAATGAACTTGTAAACCATTTTCATACAGACAAGAGAGAATTGGCTTACCCTTAGTAACCAGAAGTTCTATAACTCATATATTTGGTAGGCTTAGAGCAACTAGATTTTTGTCAGTCAACGAGCATTCATTAAGCTACTACCTACATATGTGTCAGACAGTATCTAGATTTGGGGCTCTTAAATTTAGTGTGTAAAATACATGTGATTACAAAGGAAACTGATTACATTGAAAACAGTTGTTAAAAGTCAAACAAAATTCAGGGCCCCCAGGTAAAGCACCTTGATCTAGATTGCAGTTTTTTCATTCTTGTTTTAATCTAACCCATCCTCCCCCTTTTAGTGTACTTTTGAATTCTACTGCTACAAATTTAAAATGCCTGAAGGGCTTCCAGATCACTTTGATCTTATTGAACAAACTATTTTAGTAAATAGGAAGACCTGACAGCATCCAATAGTATGCCTCCTGGGAAACTTTGCCTCTCTTCTTGTGTTGTTAAAAGAAAAACATATGCACCACCTGCCCTAGAAATAGGTTGGTAAGTGACGAATCTGTTTTCAAACCCACGTAGAGACTAAAAAGAATTATGACAAATATATACAGCTAAATTCTTATTCCTCCCCACAGGCTTATCCTCTACTGCTACAATAAAGTACTGAATAAAAATTTCCTTGCTTTCTGGTTTTCTCTAGGAACTAGACAGTTCCTCATAGTACACTAGAAAATTAAAACAAAACCATACCACCATACACTACAATTTTTGTCTACGCACCCAGCGGGTCAGCCTTAGTTAACAAAATACATGAAGAGGCTCAGATGAGAAAACAGGCCCTTTGAAAACCATGCTCCCCCAAATTAAATTTGTTCTAAGGCTACGGGCAAAGTATGCCATCTGAGACAAAGCGACATGGTGCAGCATTTTAAGGTTTGAAAAGCACAAAGCATTTTGGCTAAACGTGAAGTCAAGTCAATCACCACGTGTAACCAACATCCAGAGGGATGTTTTTTATATCACACTATTTCTATTTTGCCAGTTTCTTCTGAGACATACCAAGGAGAAATAAGTTGTGACAACTTAATGAATGTGAATACTATTCCCACAAGATACTAACGGATAGTATTGAACCTGACATTCATTCTTACTAGATTTCTTTTTACCTCAGCTTAGCAGTCTTGTTTTAGTGTGTTTACCAAAGGGAAGAAATGATACAAAACCTGTTAACATACCCCTAGTGTTCAAATATGAATTTAATACCAAGGGACAAAAAATAGGTGAGCTAGATATAATTTAAAAACATTTGGAACTTAATATTTATATGGCTCCACACAATTTTTTTGTTTATTAAACAATAGTTTGCTACCCTCTTTCTTTTAACCTATATAATGTTGAAGAATAGAGTGGGATGAAGTTGTTTCACATTCTTCCCTATTTTGATAATGACAATCAATGAATCTGGTTGAATTTTATGAAAGGGAGCAAGATGAAGGAGGCAGGGAGACAGCAGCAGATAAGAACATTTCTGCCATCTTCTGTAGCAGCAACTTGAAGTGGCTTTTTTGATCTTGGACTCTAGGAGGCAGAAATAAAACTAGACATAGAAGGAGAAAAGGCTATGGCAAGTATGATAAATTTTGTCACTGCCACCAACTAACCTATTTTCCCCTTTATCATCTCCTTTTCCTTTCCCCCCTTTTTTTGCAGGCTTGATGGGCTATATCAGATGATATATATTCATCAAACAATTGTTCTTCAAGCTAGAGACTATGCGAACATTTTTATCTGTGCACTAAGTAAATTTTCTTGTCGTCTTAGTAAGATCTAACATTATTGAAAACACCACAAAGATCAAGGCACTGTTAAAAGCTACAGCCTACCTGGCTTTGGTCTTTTTCCTCCTGCCTTCCCAATAATCTCTGACCCCTTTAAAAATATGGCATGTCATGAGGTAGTGACCAATATTTGCATAATAAAAAATTTAAAGTGTCTTTTAGGGCATAGAGTTGAAAGTTACCTTGCAAATGAAAGAAAACAAAAACATTTAGGAGATACATAACATTTACACACACATAAGAAAAACCATTAATTCAATTGTATTTTAATTTTTTGGTCTCTGAAAATAACTGTTACTGTTTAAATTTGTCCAAGTTATATATAATTTAATAATGAAGCAAAACAACCTCCCGTGTCTACCGGGCTTGATGTAGCCTGAACAATGGACTATAATTTATAGCTTATATTACCCTTTAGTTTTGTGAAAAATTTCAATATATTCTCTATATACACACCTCAAACATCATTCTTGAACTTTATTTGAAATCCCTTGAGTATAACAATGATCATCATCCCTCACCTTCTTGCAAAAGGTTCTTAATGAATCTAGAACCTCATGCTCTAAGGAATCTCTGGAATTGCACCTACCTCAAACTCCCAAATCAAAAAGTGCAACAAGTTCATACTACAAGGGGAAAAAAGCAACTTCTATTGTTTTCATAAATTGAGACTATCCCTCTTCCCCATAGCAAGGAAAGTTTTTTTTTTTTTTCCCCATAGCTGTGCCAAAGCTACTTTATGATGCTGTTGAATGAGGGCTCTTTCAAGCTAAAGCAGGAAAGTCTTCAGGGTCATCAGGGTTTGGAGCGATTATTTGTGTCTATAAAAGAAAAAGAAATACCTTAAAATTAGCATGTTGAAGATCCTTAATTTAACCAAGGGATGCTCATAAGAGAATGGAATCTCTAAAACAAGTATTATTCTTTCCTGAAATCCAAGCTTCTGCCATAGCCATCCTGGAAGAAATGTGAGAAGTTAATCAATAACATCTATTCATAATAGGCACCAAAGAAATAAGATGATATACTTTCAGGTAGAAAGTACTTTCACTGAAAGTACATAGCATATATACACAACACAAAGAACTTTTATAAAGTAGCATCCAGGTATAAATAAAGATGATGTGAACAGTAGTCAATAAAGAGTACAGCAACTTCTCTGTATGAATTCAGTTCTTCTGTCAGCCGAATGGGAAAGACTATAGGGGGAAGGTAGAAGAAAGCAGTGGATGAGAAGTTAAGAGCCCCAGATTCCAGTGCTAACTCTGCTTCCAACCACTTATGTGTCTCTGAAAGAAGTCATAGATAAAGGAATCCATCACCATGAAAGACATCAGAATTGTGATCAACACAGTGACCATTTTTAACTTTAGATCCTCAAAACCCTGAGGCATTTTGTGTGCTGCTGCTTAAATTAGACTCTCATTGGGACAGGGAGTGATTCCTCCCTGTTGCATGCCTCTACTTAAGAGGCAGAATTGGTGCAAAAGCTTGGGAGAACAAAGACCTTTTTCCTTCCTGCTGTGAGAGGACACATGGCTCCAAATCCTACACACCCTCTTTGGGGAAAAAGGCAGACAGAAAAAGGAAAGACTTTGGGAAATCAGGGATACATCCAAGTGCCAGCTCCTTTACACATGGCTGCAACTTTCCAAACTCTTTTTTTGTGTGTTTGTGTGTTTCACACTAAAGAGGGCTTAGAAGCACATGGATCATCTCTCTAGAAAGATAGAAAAAAATCTCCCAGACTTTCGAATCAACTCTGCCTCCCCCCCTCCTATTTGAATAAATTATTCCTTCCACCAAGAAAAGAGTCTCACTTTTATTTTTTTTTTTTGGCTAGGCAATGGGGTTAAGTGAGTTGCCCAAAGTCACACAGCTAGTAAATGTCAAGTGTCTGAGGCCAGATTTGAACTCTGGTCCTCCTGACCCCAGGGCTGGTGCTGTATCTACTGCGCCACCAAGGTGCCCCCCTCACTTTTTGCTTTTTAAGCAACTCTTAAAACATCCCAGTGTTTGATAGACAATAGGTGCAGAATGTGGCATTCATTGTTAGATATGGTCACTGTTTTAGTTCATTTGTATATGTCTATGTTCTTTTTTTTAAAATTAATTAATTTTTAGTTTTCAACATTCACTTCCATAAGATTTTGAGTTTTAAATTTTCTCCCTCTCTCTCTCTTCCCCCTCCCCAAGACGGCATACAATCTGATAAAGGCTCTACTTACATATTCATATTATGCATATTTTCCCATTAGTCATGATGGAAAGAACAATTAGAACTAATGGGAAGGGACCACGAGAATGAAGCAATAAAACAAAACAACAAAGTAGAAGGAGAGCAAATAGTACGCTTCCATCTGCATTCAGACTCCATAGTTCTTTCTCTGGATGTGAACAGCAATTTCCATCGTGAGTCTTTTGGAGATGTCTTAGATTCTTGCATTGCTGTGAAAAGCTAAGTCTATCAACGTTAGTCATTGCACAGTGTGGCTGTTACTGATTCTATTCATTTCACTCCGTATCAGTTCATGCAAATCTTTCTAGGTTTTTTGAAGTCTGCCTGCTTAGCATTTCTTATAGCACAATAGTATTCCATTACAATCATATACCACAACTTGTTCAGCCATTCTCCAATTGATGGGCATCCCCTCAATTTCTAATTCTTTGCCACCACAAAAAGAGTTGCTACAATTATTTTTGTACATGTGGGTCCTTTTCCCATTTTTAATGATCTCTTTGGGATACAGCCCTAGAAATGGTATTGCTGGGTAATGAATGCACAATTTTACAGTCCTTTAGGCATAGTTCCAAATTGCTCTCCAAAATGGTTGGATCAGTTCACAACTCCACCAACAATGCATTAGTGTTCCAATTTTTCCACATCTTCTCCAACATTTATCATTTTCCTGTTTTGTCATGTTAGCCAATCTGACAAGTGTGATGTGGCACCTCAGAGTTATGATTTGCATTTCTCTAATCAATAGTGATTTAGAGCATTTTTTCATACGACTATAGATAGCTTTAGTTTCTTCCTCTGAAAACTGTGTTTTCATATCCTTTGACCATTTATCAATTAGGGAATGACCTGTATTCTTATAAATTTGATTTATATCTGTATTCTAAGAGTATTTTATGCAGTCATTGGAAGTAATAACAATATTTTAAAAACATTTATTTTTAAAGAAAGAATTCCAAGACAACAGCAGGAAGGATCAAAACCAGGGAAGTCGATTGAAGAAAAATAAGAAACTCTCAAGAAAACATCTTGGCAACAATGGTGAGATTGATTCTGATAAGGAAGAAATTGGGATGGTCTAGGAAGTACTTGGCATCTCTAAATGACTCAAGTTTTAAAAGATACTTGGAAGAGAAAGGGCAACTGAAATAGGGGCAGCTAGGTGGCGCAGTGGATAACGCACCAGGCCTGGAGTCAAGAGGACCTGAGTTCAAATCCGACCTCAGACACATAACACTCACTAGCTGTGTGACTCTGGGCAAGTCACTTAACCCCAATTGCCTCACCAAAAAAAAAAAAAAAATTAAAAAAAAAAGTCAGGAAAACAAAAGATCAGGATAACTTTGGGATTGCTATAAATACTACAAGGAGGCAGAGGTAACTATTCTAGGATCAAGAGTATGGCTTACACCTACAAAATCTCAAAATATTTGAGTTGTAAGAGACCTAAAAGCTAATCTGGTCCAAAAATGAAGCCCAGAGAGGTAATTTGTTTAACAACTCATTACTAGATTTTTAAAATCTGAATCCAGTGGGACAGGACTCCTGATTAGCATGGATAGGGCTGGGGGGTTATTTTTTTGTTTGTTTTTGTTTTTAGCTTTTCTTTGAATCCCTAGTACTTAGTACAATACCTGGCACACAGAAAGTGCTTAATGTTTGTTGATTTGATTTGACTTGAAAAAGTAAAACTACTTAAGTCTTATTTTACTTTTTGTTTTCTCTATTCAAAGAAAAAGAACACAAAAATCATCAACAGGTAATAGGAACCCAAGGTAAGATAAAATTATCTCACTTAAAACACCAATAAATAAACTTTATTGGGTAGCATCCTGGTACCCTCAATAAGTTCAACTCATCTCACCTCAAACTAAAAGTTATAACTGCTAACCTTTATTAGTAATCTCTGAGCTATTATGGCAAACTAAAGAGGTGCCACAGTACTAATAAATGAGAAACATATCTAAATTTCAAAAGAGGGATATTTCAAATGATAAGCAAGAGAACTTGACAATGATACCTGATAAAATTTTAAGATACGGTGCTAAAAAGGAAGAGATTTTTTTTCAGTACAGAATCTAAGAATTAGAAAGCACATCAGAGGCCATTCAGTACAACTTACAACTAACCAGGACAACTTTTCTACCACATTCCCTACAAGTAATCATTGAGAAAAAGATAGTATATGCTTATCTAAATCACAGATACCACAAAACTAAGAATAATAACACAAACAATAGGTGGCAGAGGATTATGAAGTATTGGGCAAGAAACTGATGGTCTTGGGGACACAGGTTATGTTTTTATCACTGCTTCCAATCAAAAACAAGAGTCTAGAAGACAGTCCAGAAGTCTAAACAAACAACAAAGCAATAAATCAAGCCATGACTTGTAGCATTTGTGTATTTCCAAAGTTGAACAATCCTCTTATGAGCCAGTTCAAGCTGACACTAGCACAGCCCTAATATGTCAAAGGAAAACAGAATGATGAGAGAACTTGTAATTATGTCATCACAGGGAAAACTGAAGTAAATAGGGGATGGATGGATGGATGGATGAATATTTGGAAAAGAGTCTTGCTGGGGAAAGACTGAGGAAGAAAGCATGATAGCTATCTTTAAATACCTGAAGTATCAGCGATTAGACATATTTTGCAGCTTCAGAAGACAAAAAATGAGGCATTGAATAAAGATTATGCATTTCTGTCTAAGGTCATTTATAAATTTACTCACATTAGTATTAAATATAAAAGTTCACTTTCATTGAAAAAAATCCTTTATAACAACTAGTGCTTCAACTTTAAGATAAAATAAGATGATTAAGGAGGTAGATTGGTTACCTGACCAGTGAAAGTATTACTCAAGCAGGTGCTAAGTAATTTAGTGATAGAGAATTCTGGGACTGGGTGGGAAGTCAGGCTTGCTGGTGTGTGTGTGTGTGTGTGTGTGTGTGTGTGTGTGTGTGTGTGTGTG